GCCGGGCCCAAATGCTTATGTGGGAATTCAAAAATTAACAAACACAAAAGTAACCCAATATTCGCCTGTTTAATAAATCCAGAACAAAATCGAATCCGTAACCGTCTGTTGATTTAATTATTAAAATGACGTAAATTGTAAATGATATATCATTCATCCTAACGTTTTTTACTATGTACTAAACATGCTTACGCTCATTGGCTTAGATAAGTATTTGTTAGTACAAAATCTATTCACGTAAAAATACCCGTTTTCATACTGTCTTCTAAGTGTGTCATTTTACTCCATAACCATCTAATTATATCTAGAAAAAAGCAGCTTTTAGCTATTTTTAAGCCTTTTTAAAGTTCGGATGTCGCAAAATTAAAACGAATTTCGCTATCGTGAAATATGATTCATTTTAGAATAATTTTGCTTTTGTTCGAGGGTTTTGTACATCTTTGTGTTTGTTTATATATATATCATATACTGACTTCACTGGCGTAGCCTGGGGGGGCATGCGGCCCTGTCCCCCTTTGGCTTGTTATATTTTTACCAGTTTTTCCCCTACAGTTCCAAATTTCGCTATGTAAATTGTCGTAGTTTTATGTTCTTTAGCTTCAACTTACATCTAGCTCACCTAAAATCCTATTCACGGTTTCCAAAATAAAAATGCATAGAAATGAATGTTAAGACTTGCCCCCCCCCCTTTTGAAATTCCTGGATACGCCAGTGACTGACTTTGTACTACAAATTATGCATATATATATTAATGAATAGCTTTATAATCTGGCATCTTCATATCCGGAAACTCTTGAAACTGGAAATTTTAATATCTCCAAATCCAAATGCTCATTGAAACTAAGTGTCGCTGCTGTAGCTTTGTTTATGTTCTTCACCGCTGGCAAGCTTTTGTTGTTAGCTGCCTGTACTGTGATTCATTTTTAAGATACTTTACTTATATGTGTTTTGTTTATACAGCTTAAGGTTTTCTACAAGATATGTTATTGTTTAAAACTGTTATTGTTATAGATAATATAGAAATACTGTACTTTAGAACGTTAACAAGAGATTAACATTTTTCCTGTAAAATATAAGGAAAACGCTTTTGTAACCAGAATTTTCGCCTATCTGGCAGATAACAGATAACAAACTTTTATTGTATATCTATTGCCTAATCTTCAGAAATTAAAAATATATTCTTATAACTACTTTCTCAAGCAATACCGAAACGGTCTACCCTTTGAACTTGAGTCTATTTGAGTGTTACTAAAAATTAATTGACATTAAAATATTTTTAACAAATTTTCATAATTCAAACAAATGATTTTATTATTACTTTTAAGGAATACCGAAACTTTAAACTTTAAATTTAGGTTCAGAGGACTGTTACTAAAAATGATAAATTGATATCTTATATCTATTAGAAAATGTTCAAAAATGAAACATCTGTTTTTGTAATTTTCTTAAGCAATACTGGTAGTATCTAAATTTTAAACTTAGGTCTACATGACTGTGACGAAACAAGATGTAATCCTCAATAGCCGCGGCACTTAAAATTCTTTTAGGCAGGTTTAAAGTAACTTAATCTATGAGACTTTTTTTTCCTTTTTATTAGCAATAATGTTGTTTCCCCAGTGGCATAGCGGTATGTCTGCGGACTTTCAACACTAGAAACCGGGTTTCGATACCTGTGGTGGGCAGAGCACAAATAGCCCATTTTGTAGGTTTACGCCCAATTACAAGCAAAACAAAGTTATACAAGCCTACCCTCAAATTGAAATTCTTTTATGCAAGAGAAGAGTAAATTAATCCATGAGATCCTGGGCGTGAAAAATACATTAATCAAAAGGATTTTATCTCCCGAGTCCAAAATTGTAATTAGACTTCAAATCGGTCAAAATATGACGGAACTATGAGCTAAATGTTTGCACTTGAAAAAA